TCTCATCTTCCTCCTCTGTTATTTTGACAACCACATCTTCCTCCTGGGCAGATTCTTTGTGCACTAAATAAAATAAACAGAGCCTCTGACTGCAGGGTCACAGAATACAAATCATGCCAATTTGGTACTTACATCCAAATCTTGACACATTAAAACCATTTTGCATTCAGTATAATATTAGAAGTCCGTAGTATAAGCTACGGCAGTAGTATTTGCTGAGACTTTTTTTTACAGTGACTATATAAGACATCAGGAACATGATTTTTGTCTGAAGGTTAACCAGGTGAATCCAGGTGGAAGCTGTTAGTTTCATTGATTACACCCTCAGTCATGCAGCATATGTGTAGCTGAAGTGTAGCAGAATGATTAAACAAGGATGACTCTAGTCTCTACATCAGTTGTTCCCAATGTTTTTGTCTGATGTATTGCTATCAGATGAACTCATCACCACCCATCATGTCCCACATAGGTTCATTTCAATTGATTTTAGAGCGGATGCTAAATAACACTACAAAAACTGGATACTGTTACAATTTTTTCATGCAATAATTGAATAATGGTTTGCATCTGGACTGCTACCACTTGGAGTAGCATAGGCTGGTTCTTTCAAACACTTCTTTTATAGTGCAGTGTCATACAGTGGGGCCGGTTGCTTGGCCGCCGGTATTTCTGCTTGCAGCTTTCTCAAGAATTACTCATCCGAACAACTTCATACTCAACACTGCACTGCCTTGGGTCCTAATCAGTACACCTGCCATAACATAGTTGCATCCCCTAGCAGTGCTAGGGTGTATGTTTCATTTGGGTGCAGAAACTCACATGAACATTTTATGGCCTCAGTGAAGTCAAAGCCAGGCTATCTCCAGGAACAAAAACATTGATTCTGAAAGTTACATTGCTCCTGGTGCTTAAATGTTTGAGTTTGGTACAATGTAACATCTCTGCGCTGTTGCCCTTTCCGGTCTCTCCTTCCTAAACTGGTCTTGAATGCACTGTAGGCAGTGACGGAGAGTCCCCAGCATACTGTTTAGTGGTGCAAATTGTAATGGGGTGCTCTCTAAATACACAACAGTATGTACTTGTGGCATAGTAAGGCACTATTAATTGATATATGCCATAGATCTCAAGAGCTCACACTGGGCACTGCACTTCATGGATTCCTACCAATACATCTGGAGAATATGAAGTTGATCTGATAAATGATTTTAGAGACATCGAAGGACATAGTACAATACGTACATACAGAGAGTCCTTCCATTTTAGGCAGTTACTTTTATTGAGCATTTATGCATTCCTTGCAGTTAACTGTTTCTGCCCTTTATTCATTCATTTTAGATAAATATTTAAGCTGTTAATCCATTACGTTAAGATCACTGTTTTAACCATTTTACTACTACTTTTTTACTACTACTTTTTTTCAGCCATTCATCCAATAAGTAAAGGTAATTATTTCAGCCATTTATCATTTACTTTTACCTAATTATTTAAATAGTTTATCCATTACTTTTGCCGAATTATTTCAAATATCTATTTGCTACATTTTAAGCCAATTATTTGTTACTCTTAGCTAACTTTCTGGACTTCTATTGTAGCTTGCTAACTAGTTTTCATGTACTCTTCGTACCTCTTCGGGAGGTTGGCCTTCATAAAACCTGGAATGAAAAGTTTGGTTTTGTCTGCAGTTTTATATTTCTAAGTAATTAGTGTTACAACTAAATTAAAAAATGGCTTAATACACTGTTTTAAAAGACTGATCTTTTTTCAAAAAAACAAAAACAAAGCTACACTGTGATTTGTCTCTGAATGCAGCTCGAGCCAAGTGAGTGACTTCAGTGCTTATGCTGCTGGAGCACCAACATAAACTGTCATGTCTGTACCCATGTTCAACCTAAACACAAATATTTCCATTTTTTGATGCTTTATTTTCATTTTTTTTTACCTTGTCTTAGAATTAAATTCTGATTACTGACACACACTTTACTCCACTTTACTGTATTTCCACTAATCTTTCCAGTACACACATCACAGACTGAGCTGCTGTCACATTGTTTTACATATTGTTGGGATAAAGTCCCATCCCTCAGCAGCTGATAGGCTGACAGCTGTAAAATAAATAGCAATTGAGTTGTCCAAGACCTTTTAAGAATATGCATCCAGCTTTGCTTTGCAGTGGCGGCCATGAGCTGTAATTAATACAACAGGAAAAAGACTGCCTGTGTAAAACAGTTAGAGAAAATGCAAACACAAGAGTGTGTATTGCATATATGTGTATATATGTATGCTGTTTTTCACTCTCCCTCAGGGGTCACATGTATGTATTGTGCCCTGCCTATTAGCCATTTACATCCTGTGTGTTGTATCTTTGCTGAAGTTGGCTTGTGAGATTTGTATAACTTTGCCGCAAGCTACTGTATCGGTTCTGAATAATGAGCAGAGTTGTCCTGGAAACTGAGATAATCTTTTTTTTTTTCCTACAGGAAAGAGAGGAAACACAGGTTACATTCAAATAGCTTTGTTTCAAGTTTTTTTTGCATTTTTAATGGGCACTAGTTGACAGCAACAAGGCCAAGCTTTGGGACTGTTTTACAATGCGATAACTCTCCGCTTTGTAATAAAACAGAATTCTGGGCCAGTGTTTTACCCAGAGGACACAGAAGAGAATGCCCTACATTCACTGGCTTTATTAAAGGTTCTTGTTTTAATTATCCGCATTGTTTTACATCTTTAATAAGCTACAGTTGACATTGTACAGTAGGGCTTTGTTCTGAGGTTGTATCTGCTTGTCTTTTTTTCCTCTCAGGATGAAGTCATTAAAGCTGGATGACATCCTGCTTTTAGAAGGCAATGTCACAAAAATGGATATGTTGTTTTGTGTCCCAGCAACCTGCAGCTCAAACGGTTTTCCCAGAATAGTCTTGTACTGTAGTCCTCAGGAGTTGCCCTTTGATTGAGGCATGTTAATGAGCTGAACTTCACAGCTATAATTGGGTTTTACAGTGTAATTGATCTCTTTAAGGACAAGGCCTTTTGAAAGCTTTCATTTTCCCTGAGATTAAATCATTGGGATGTAAATGTCATGTGCAGTACCCTTTAGCTCCACACTGAAAGCTATTTGTTTTCATTAGGAACAGTTTGAAAAGTTGCCCTTTTTCTTGATTTACTGTGTCACATACTGTAGCACATTTTGGATTTTTTTGTGTGTGCGTGTGTTGGGCCATCCTCTCCTAGACTAAAACAGATTGAGCCGACCTGAGAACATAAATCAAATACAGTTGATACTGAAGTTTCGTAAGGTAGACTTTCAGTATGTAGGCTAAATGTGTCAGTAGGTACTATGTTTCTTTCTATGAACTAAACTGACTGGTTAAATTCTATTGGGAAATGATAATCCTTTAGTATATGGTATGAATTGTTCCATTAAATCCATTGAAAAAAATATATTAAATGATTTTTCAGAGAGAGAGAAGACATGGACTCTTCAAGAAAAGATACAGCGTAGTGTTAGAAATACTGATAGCCTACAGTGACACTTTATAATGAAGGGTCATATTATAATCAAATAAAGGCTTCAGTTGATTGTAATAGATGTCATCAGGGCTTTAAAAATATTTTTTTCATCCTCCTTTTGACTAAAAACCTTTTATGATGGAATATTACAAATCATAATTTACCACTATGGCTACATGTCTGAGAGAGAGAGAGAGAGAGAGAGAGAGACTGCAATGTAATCCCCACAGGAAACTGTGCACTGTCACTTCACATGCACTTTAAGTGCTTGTTTTTGCCACTGACAGGCTCAGATTGTTATTCTAAGTTTCTGACAGAATTATGAGAACAATCCCTACAGAAGTCGACCTTTTTGTTTAGAAATAGCCCCGAAATCGCTATCGTCAAACTCATAAGGCTCCATATTAATAAACAGCAATCTTATTGTAAAACATGTTTGATTTAAAGTCAACATGACCAAAATAAAACACAAAAGTTGTCTTGGTTTGTCTCTCTGCTGTTCCAACATTCAGTAACTCTGATATAAATAAACCTTCAATTCACCCATTTAGATAGAAAAATATGCTGGCTTTATTGATGCTAAAATTACTGTTTATTTAAATGGAATTTGGTGAGTTTGTCAGCTACTGTTTTTGGGCCGTTTCTGCTTAAACAAATAGGATCTTACCCTTTAACAAAAGGGTCAGCATCTGTAGGGATCCCTTCCATAATGTTGTCAGACACCTACTGTAAGAATCTGAATGTGACAGTGGCAAAAACAAGCACTTTTTATTGGACCTAAATTGACAGTACTCAATTACCTGCAGGGATTACATTGCAGCCTGTTTTGCTGCTGCTGGCTGAAGCATTCTCCATTAATACTGGACCAGTTTTAAAAATTGTTGTCCCCATTAGTCACTAGACACAAAAACATGGGAAAATAGGGTCCAGGCTGAATTTTTTTTTTTTTACCAAACTTACCCTTTAACTTTCTTGCTCCTGTCCATGCACAAAAAAACCGTGTGACAGCAAAATATTTAACACACTGTCTGTATTTTGTACCACTCCAATGGTTTACACTCCAGACTCCCCTCTCCCCCTCAGGTCTGCTTCTTAATCTCTAATGATGATTAATGTGGGCTGTGTGCTTATTGGCAGCACTGTGTTATTGGCATACTGACAGGGTTGTTAAGATGGATAACTATGCAAGAGAGTGTATGTATGTGTGAGCGTGCGAGCCCCAGCAGCAGAGCCCCCACCTTTTTGCAGCTTAGCTGTGAAATCAATTGATTTGTGTGTCTGGTCGATGGAGAAAATGGATTTGTGGAAAACGCTGAAAAACAACACCTAAATTAAACTTAGTCTGTGGTTTTCTCTGTTTGTTGAATTTGTTTTAAGGGTGCAGAGAACAATAGAAAGTAAATTGTGATTTATTCACCTCGTCATGCATAAAAAAATGTTTTCTTTTTATGAGTGTGTTTTACCCTTTTGTCTGTGTGTGTTTGTGTGTGCAGGAGATGGTTCGCCGGGGGGAGATCCTAGATGACAGCATGGAGGATGAGTTCTACCTTCGCCGCCTGGATGCTGGACTATTTGTCCTTCAGTTGATCTGCTATATTATGGTGGAGATCAGCAACTCAGGGATATCACAGGTACACACACAGACACACACACTGACCGCTGGTGGTCCGAGATGGACTCTTCACACATTAATTATTGTTAGGACATCACATCAGCCGAGCTTTAAAAGCAGGCAGGAGTCAGACGGTTTATTCACTTCAACACAAGTGTGGCTTTTACCAGACTCCACTGTGTTACTTTTGTTGTCTCAGAGCGGAGACAACAACACTGTACCTGGTGCTTAAAACCTGCAGTATAGCCCTGCTCATTTCACTTCAGAGTGGTTTACGCTCACCATAATGTCACTGGGGCGTACCAGAAAATAATAATCCTATTAATAATAAAGCTTATTTATAGTCCACTTTTAATACAAGAGAAGTGCTTCACAATAGAAAAGCAACACATTTACACAAAAGCAAAAAGGAAAACAAAATTAGACAATAAGAGACAAAATGTTTAAGTGAAGGTAAAAAGACGAAGTCGAAGAAGAAGGACATAAATCAAAAGTTAAACTAAATAAATAGGTTTTAGGTGGTGTCTCAAGTATGTAGAGCATAGTTCACAAAAGCTGTGCTGCCTCTTTTCTTGTGTGTATAATTGTTTGCATTTAAAAACCCAGCAGCAGCAGATCCAAGAGCTCGTAGAGGATTACAAAACAACAGTCTGTGATTTCCAGTTTTCCCAAACCATTAAGAGCTTTAAAAACAAGTTAAAAAATAATCTTAAAATTTATTCTAAAAGTGACTAGGAGCCAGTGGAGTGTTGCTAAAAGTGGGGAAATATGCTCTTTTTTCCTTGTTGTGGTCAAAAGTCTAGCAGCACAGTTCTGAATAAGACATTTTCCAATTGACTGTTTCAGAAGGCCAGTAAAAAGGCATCACAATGATCTGATCTATTTAAAATAAAAGCATAAGAATAAGTACGTTTTTCAGCATCTTTATAGAGTCTGATAATCCCTTTTACATCAAGTGTGAAGGCTCTAAAAGTTGTTGTGGCACTTCGTTGGGCACCTCTCAATTATTGTAACTAGGCACTCACTGTGCACGCAGAGAAAACTGGCTGAGAAGGTTCGCCTGCACAGACATCTCTACGACTCTCCCTTCAAAGACCACATAGACGGTCAAATGGCCTTAAATTGTTGAAAAGGAACAGCCACCACACTGAGGAAAGAAAAGGCTTTTCGCTGTAGGTTGTGGAAGAACGTGAGAGATCACTGTAAAAGCTAAAAATCCATCTCAAGAAAGGGGCGACCTTGGGGGAAAGATATAAAAAAGCAGTATAAAATGAATTTAACTTTGAGGTACGCAACCGTTATAATTACAGTACCCAACATATGTAAACTAACAGTTCAGGTGTTTGAGAATCAGCATTGCTAGGAGACTTGTTGTCAACTTCTGTGATGTGCTATAGCTTATGAACATTCATACAATACATCCCTTTCCTTTTAACAAGCCTGGTAATGTTACCTGGTGCTAGCAAGCAATTTGTATCTTAACAACATTCAACATTTGGACCCATCGTGTTTGTATTTCACTCACAGATGACATGGTAATTATAATGTTGACCAAATAATGACACAAACAAACACCAAAGGCGATTTCTTAGTAAAAATGAATTGTAATTTTATGGTACGTTCCTGATCTTCTCTTTCTCTGTGTTTAGCTGCAGCAGAGGGTCCATCAAATTCTCAACCTGAGAGGAGGCTCTGTCAAAGTAGTGCGCCACATCATGAGAGGTAAGTCACTTTATTTTCTTTAATACAGACATTTCTTAATTATAATCAAGATCTAATGATAAACCCATGCACTGCTATGTTTCCAGTATAACATATTTTAGCCATACTGCTTTCAGTGTCTATTTTTAGTAGAAAACACAATTTCCACACTCTGATAAATTAATTTAAATCAGTTCTACTTTGCTCTGCTTTGTCTGTGCTCCTCTGCTGTTATTGCAGCACTTCTTGCAGATGTTTCACAACAAGAGATGATACCTCTTCACACTGCTGGGGGGCTTTTAATGTTAAACATATGGAGGAGTTGTGAACAAATTAATGTGATTCATTATTAAATTATGATAAAAAAAAATAATAAAAAAAATAAACGTATATAAGAGGGTGAAAAATAAAGGCATGTGGCTGGAAGCTTTTATCCAGAATGACTTATAATAAGTGTATTCAGCTGTGTGGATACAACCCAAACATTCCAAGACTCATGGGACTACATCAACTTAATTAAATGCTGAACTGCTTCAAATGCTCCACAAAGGCTTGTCTTTAGTTCGAGCATGTCATTCTAACATGTGACATAAAGAAGTCTTCTTATATGCAGTTAATGTTAACATACATCACAACTTGTATTTTACTCAGCTATTTTACCTACATTTAAGTTGAATGTATGAATGAACTAGGTATGGTTTGACCCCATTGACAAACCTAAGTGGGAGTGTCTGAGTAAAACTATAAGTCCTTATCAGATGTACAGGTCTACATCCTGCATTTCCAAGTGAAAATGAATAAAATAAGAAAACATATTTTTACAAGGCATAAAAACACATTATACCTAAGGTAGCTGCACCAAAAACAATTCACATCATTTTATGAGAAACATTTTATTGACGGTTGTTTTTAAATCCTGGTTCCGAGTGCTTTGCAGCCTGGCGAGGAAGCAACATTTCAGGGGGGGAATGTTGGTATAATCACTGCTCTTTGGCTGTGGTTGTTGTTTGATAGTAAGCCCGTGCTGTTTGCCTGCCAAAGTGGTTGTGATGGAATATAATGAAATACTATGGATAATGTCATTCTTCCTTATTCTTTTAGACACAAAGGGAAAAGGCCCAGGCAAACCTTGAAACTGTGGTGTCTGTGTTTTAACATTATCCAAGCCACTGTTTTGTGCATGTTTGTGTCCAGTACATCCCTAAAAGCATACATGTGCTCACTTACACAAATAAACAGTGCTGTTCACACACTTGTAGCTATTAGGAGACCTACTAGAGCAGAGGGACAGGGGAGGATATAGATAATAATTAGGGCTGTCAAACCATTTTTGCTTTCACAATTAAATGCTGAATTTTAATAGTTATTTGAAGTTAATCACATTTATAATTGCATGTTTAAAATTCCAATATTTTGCATTTCAAAACAGTTTTGAAGTCCATCTCAAAGGTGAAGCAAGTCTTACCACAGAGTGTCTTCAATGGGAATCAAATGAATACAAAGAGATTTACTTACTATTTCATTTTTTTTTTTTTTTAATTTTTTTTTTTTTTACTATGATTTTGACTTTTAAATTTCTTTCTTTCAAATCAGTGCTGCACTGCTGCAACATTGTGGTCTTGAAACCATGACTTAGAGGTAGAAGACAACTTCAGTAAAGCATATGACTGGTCACAACATGTCAACCTGAGGATGACCCCTTAAGACACAATATATTTGTGCAGTGTTGTGTCTGTGGTGGTGGGGTTTCTGCGAAGTGCTGTAAAGTTAAATTTATTCAAAACTCACAAACTTGCGTCCTTAAATATGACGTAATAAAGACAATTTCAAACACAAGTACACAAAGTGGCTTCATTATATCGCACAAGATTCACAGACAAAACACTTTTCTCTTTTGCTGGACACATTTTCCCCACAATTCCAACATGCTAATGTTTTTAGCACAAGCCTATGGCGTTTCACATTATCTAAATTAGCCTGGCAGCTAGCAGAATTTTCGTCTACTCATATTAAGCCAGGAACAACAGCAACATTTAACAGAGATAATGTTACAAAATTCACTTCAGTTGCAACTCACAAATTTCACCGACAAATTTATTGTCTTCTATTAGACACGTTTTCCATACAAATACAACATGCTAACGTTATTAGCATAAGCATATGACATTTCACGTTCTGTAAATAAGCCTAGCAGCCTGTGAGGTTTTCCTCTAAAGCCAGGATAAATCACATGCTGAACTTGAAGTGCAGACCTACAGTTGCCACAAATTAGCATGTACTGTAATTAACTTCTTCACAGGTTTGTGGCGATTCGCACACTCCAAAATAGTGCTTTGCCGGTGCTGTATTGAAATGTGTTCACCCATCAAACAGTGTTTCCCCCCTCTTGATATATAGCGCCCCCCTTGGTGGTTAGGGTAAGCGCTAAGGGTTTGGGTCAGGTTTAGGTGGAGGGGAAAGACGTGTCGACAGGGAAACAGTCTGCAACCCAACACCGGCTTTGATGATGCACTTGCCCACTGACATTAGCATTAGCTGTACCCGTGAGGTCAGTGTGAGGGTGGTCTTAAACTCAAAGTACTTGATATTTTGATTCCATTTGACACAAGATGCATTTCACTTTTGACTCGTCAACTGAGCAGTCTTGGAGTTTTTTAAAGTGCAAGAAGCCATTTAAAAGCACAGTGGTGTCTTATTTTATATTCACTGTAGCAGCAGAAAGCTGCTATGGCGGCTTGACTACGAGTCAGGGTGCCTCGAAGAGACAAAATAGCACCACGTTATTAATGCGGTTTTAAAAACAATAACACAGACATTACGTATGGGCCTTAATTGCATCACAATGAACGCGTTAACACTGACAGCCTTTCGGATGGTCATAAGATATAAAATGCAGGTGAAAAACTAATTAACAATTAAAGTTATGACAGCAGTAAATAACAGAAAAATCCAGCATCAGAAATATCCAGGTAGGAATGTATATATACAAGTGTTTATTGCCTTTCACGTTACCTGTGTACAGATGGTAAAACAATATGCAGAAATGCATCCTGGCATGCAAATATGCATTGTAATCTAATCATATTGACATTGTGAGAGGAGTGGAGGCTGCCTGCCTGCCTGTCTATCTGTCATTCATCCTTTATTTTCCCCGTCCCAAAGATTTCCTGTCCTGCCGTATTTGTTTTCTGCTTGGTTTTCAAAGACCTAGCAGGTGTGTTATTTTCCTCCCGGTGCGACATCCATCCTTCCTGTATCATTGTCGCATAAAGCTCGAGGACGAGTCTCCGTTCACACACCCTCTGGCTCTCTGTGGCATGTAGCACTGTAGATAGAGCCATCCGTCACGCATTGCGCTGCCAGCAAGCGTGGCAATTCTCCAGTCACTGTGTGTGTGTGTGGGAATGTTAAATGTGTTAGTGTGTTACTTTTGTTTTCATCTGTATATTTGCATACACATGTGCCTGGCTTGTCAGGGTAGTTTCAACAGTACATTTTTGCTTACTAACATGATTTTTTTTTTTTTTTTTTTTTTGTTCCGATGTGCACATCATGTTTGCCTTTAGCACGTCTACATATTTATGTTTGCAAACATGTCCTTGCTTGCTTGCGTGTGCATATGTTTTGCATTTAACATATCTTCGCCTGCACAGGTGTGTATGTTCAGTTTTCCTTTGTGGTTTACCTTGCATATTTTATTCATGTGTACCCTTGCATGTGTATATTTAGATGCAACACTTTATACATATTCATTTGCATGTTGTGTGTACTTGTCCTTGCATGATCTTGACGTGACTTATTTATTTATTTATTTATTTGTCATAAATTGCGGTCGTGTATTTTTACGAGGTGTTTGAGTGTGTGTGTACACCTACGCTGTGTTATGCTGTTACGCCTCTGCATCTGTCCATCATAGCGTGTGTGTGGTTTGTAGTGCGTGCCCTCACCCTTTCCATTAGGCCACACTGTGGAGCCCTCTCCCATTTCAAGTGCCCCACCCGGTCAGTGTGAAACTGCAGAAAAAGGTTAAGCACATGCATAGTGTGTCGCCAGCTCTGCCATCTTGACCTTAATGGCTTTAGCTCGCTGAATAAGAAGCAGCTATGCAGGCAGGAAGGCTTAGCACACTGGAAGTGAGAACACTGATTTCACTAATGTTGTGAAAACCTGCTGTGAGGTGTTCCTCCTCAGAAACTTAAGCTAGGGTAGATTATTTTTTCAGGTGTGAAATAACACTGTGTCCCAACAGAAAACTAGTGTCTGACTATTGTGTAACATCAAAGCTCTCTGTCCACACTGAATCTGTTAAATATACACTCAGGATCAGACTGGAAACATGCCCATGTAAAGATGGGTGAGTAGCCTAGTTGCTGTCTTCGTTCCTATGTTTGTAAAAAACAGAAAACACAAGTTTTATGTTCTGATATTTACTGGAAATGGCATACAATATAGCAAACAGCAAGTAGCCTTATTAGCGACTGTCATTTAGCTTACCAGAAAGGTTCAGCTCCCCAGCGATCTCCCTCAAGCCAGTCTCCACCTTATTTAGGTTTTTGTAATGAAATGAGGAGGTATCCTATATGGAATTCCTCCTTTTAACTGTACGAATCAGCTGTTCCCTGTCCATTGCAATGCTTTCAAAGCCAATGACAGGAAATGGAAACAGCATGTTACGAAAATTCAGCTCAAAACAGAGCTTGCAGCCAGTGACATGACTTCTTTTGTCTGCTTTACATACATGTTGGTGCAGTTTCAGTTTTCTTGAGAGACTAACGCCAGGGCCACACTGCCAACAAACTGCTGGGAAGCGCAGCGCACCGAAATTCTTGTGCGAGCCCGTTCACATCAGACGTGCATTTCTCCATGCCGGTCGACAAGCGCTTCTGCTCCCAGCTGTTGTCTCCCTCACATTTGGGGCTGTTTTTCCATCATGGGTATCGCTCTCTGTTTGCGTATGTGCCCCAACCCCCACCCCCTATAGCCGGCCCACACTCAGGGGCTGTTTATACGACAACGATTTC